CCCATGAAGCTGTTTGTAAGGATTAAATGAGGTAGTGGCTTCAAAACAGGCATAGTGCTTGTATTTAATTTTAAATGAAGAATTTCTTTTAGAGTAAAAAAAAAAAATTAAAGTCTTTGGCTGAGCTGAACAAATCAGAGTTCTTTTATTCAGGGTCCAAAGAACCCTCTCTTTTTATTTTATTTTTTTATCAAATTTTTACCGATGCATAGTTTTAAAAGCAAAATAACACTTCAAGGCTTCATCCAAATTAGGACAATTTGGAGAGTGAAAGGAGCAATAATAACAAAATTATGCCAGACTAGCAAGGATAAACTGGGACTGTCCCAGACAAACCCTACTTATAAAAAATATAGATTTTCTTCTGATCCCTACCCACTCTGATTCCTATTCCTCAGAGACAATTCTTTAAGCATTTTTCTCATGTTTACCCCTCTATTGCCAATAATAAATTTCTACTGCTTTTCTATTTTATGCATCAATTTTGATTTCTTACTATGGAATATGAGGAATGATCTCTTTTATACCACCCATTCATATACCATTTTCTTCCTCTCATTCCCAATTCGATTATATTATATATTCATTTTTATATTAATATGATCATATAAATCTTGTTCATGGCTGAACCACATCATTTATATTTCCATTCTTATGCAATTGTTCAATTTCCCTGGAGTTAATAATTAACTCAAATTTTGCTTTATCCTATTTTCTAGGGTCCTGTCCACTTATTCATCTCTGTCTGAACTATGAAACTACTCCAATGGCTAATCTATGAATTCCGCATTTTATTGGAAATAAACCTCTTCCTTGGTCTTCCTGCTCCAGGCTAGACTGGTTCCTCTTCAGACCTACTGTATAACTGTCATCCCTTCTCTTCTATGTTGGACTTGTTTTCTTGATCCCATGGTTGTACTTTGCTCTGTCACTTCCTTGTTTGCATGGAACACATCCCATTATACAGTGGTTTAGTAAGAGAGTAAACAAAGAGATAAACTTTAGAGATCTTACATATCTAAAAATTCCTTTATTCTATCCTTATTCTCTTTTTTTCAAACTTAAAAATGTGCAAGAATATTACCAAAACCTCCTTAATACCCTTCAGCAAGTCACCAGTTTTTAACATTGCTTCTGCATTTGTTTTAGCATGTCTTTTCTCTATATTGTAGATGCATATTTTTTCTTGAATCGTTTGAGTTACTTGCAGTTACCTTTCATATTTGAATGGTCGTTTGGCCACATATAGAATTCTACATTGGAAATTATTTCCTCTCAGAATTTTGAAGGCATCAATCCATTATCTTTCTTTCTTTTTTTAAAAAAAACTTCTTTATTGAATTTATTGGGGTGATAAAATTATATAGGTTTCAAGTGAACAATTCTATAACACACCATCTGTATACTGTATTGTGCATTCACCACCTCAAGTCAAATTTCCTTCCATCAGTATTTATCCCTATAACTTCTTCTACCTCCCACAGTCCCCATTCCCTCTGGTAATCACCATACTGCCATACTGTTATTTGTGTCTGTGAGTCTTGTGTGTGTGTTTGTGTGTTTGCTTAATCCCTTCACCTTTTTCACCCAGCCCAGCAGCCCCCCTCCCCTCTGATAACTGTCAGTCTGTTCTCTATGAGTCTGTTTCTATTTTGTTTGTTAGTTTATTTTGTTCATTAGATTCCACGTATAAGTGAAATCGTCTGGTACTTGTCTTTCCCTGTCTGGCTTATTTCACTTAGCACAATTGCTCTGCAGGTCTATCCATGGTGTTGCAAAGGATAAGATTTCCATCT